CTCTCTCTCTCTCTCTCTCTCTCTCTCTCTCTCTCTCTCTCTCTCTCTCTCTCTCTCTCTCTCTCTCTCTCTCTCTCTCTCTCTCTCTGTGACTTGACTCGCTCTGCCTCACTCTCTCTCGTCTCTCTTTCTCTCTCTACCCTGGATCGTTACCCTGGATACACCCACTCGGGCAGCTTACACCTTGGCGGCTATGGCGTCATCCTCCTGACCTACGTCTAGCCTAGCTATCGAGAATCTCACAGGCGCGTGGTAAACCGTATGCAGAGAGGGAGAAGAGGACAACAAACGAGGGGCTCTGACAAACTGTTTCGTCGGAGTTTCACTGACTCATCAGGAGGTTGAACCGTCAACAGTCTCCAGAATCCCGTAACTGATTACACTGTAAGCGATAATCCACCTTAACCCCGGTTGTGGTTAAGCATCAAGGACTGCCCGACAACTGATACCCTGAGGTGGGCACCGAGTTACCAACCACTGCCCTCAAGGTACCTGATGATGAAAATCAAAGCAGACTATCACTCACCCACACCAGATGGAAAACTCTACACTGTTGGTTCACACCCACATATACATACCCATATATATGTGCAATGACTTGCTGGGTCCAGGTTGCCTGTAGCCTCTCTCTGACGAGGCTGTACCATAGGTAGGGACAGATTCATAATTTTGTTTGGCTGATGGCTAACCGAGAGATGGACATATTCTTGAGGGACATATTTGTAAATATAGGAAATATGGGCCTCGTACTACCTCGAATTTCCTACAGTTACCCTAACTGCAAATAGCAGACCCGGGCTACCCCTAGGACAGAGTCCCGATGGGCCTACGCTGATAGGTGGTCCTATACCCTATAGCGGGGTAGGGAGAGGCCCTAGGGGCCGAAACAGAAATGGTACCGGTCGGTCAGTCATTCCGGTCTAGGTTGAGTCTAGGCTAGGGTAGAGTATAGATAGGATGGGAACATCGGTCCTGGGCTTTTGGCAGCTAACACTTCGTGGTGGAAGTTGCTGCGCATGCAGCATCAGGTCGTGGTGACTGATTGATGCGTGAGAAACAGCGGACAGAGCCGGACCTTCAGAACGCTGACCAGACTGGGGTCAGCGCTGTCTGCTCTGACTCTCTGGGAGTCAAAGCGGTCTGGGCTATTGGAGGTCTGATATGTTGGAGCACGTGGTGCACTGCTGACCCTCCTCAGGAGTAGGGTCCCAGTGGCGATGCAGCCATAGCTGCATCTTCTCAAAGACTATCATCGTCAGGACTTCATCTTCATCAGAGATTGTTGGCGTTGGGCTGCTTCTATATGAGTGGCGATTGGCTCTGGGAGCCTGTTTCAGACTGGCACAGGCCACTGTGTTGAATGTCAGGGTTGCGCTGGGTGTTACCTGGGGTTCTGGTGCTATTTCTAGCTGTTCAGAGTGTGTGGGGTTGAGGCGCTACCCTTTTGAGGGCGGCGCAACAGGGTTCTGAGGTTATTCAGTTGAACGACGCTCTGAGTTAATAAACAGTTTCAATACTGTGTTTGAGTTGTCATCTCTTCAATGATTTCTGTCTGTGATCTCTCGGTTGTCTTCTATGAATGATTGTTGGGACTTCTGTGGAGAGAATCCACTGTGTTGTGTATTCTGTCACTTCGGTCTTCTGAGTCTTCCGCTTCGTTTCTTCTGTTGGGCCGTGTGACACTCCACTACCTCTCCCCTTCCTTCTGTGCATGTTTGGGTGTGTACGGGAGTTCCTGTGAGTGAGCGTTGACAAAATTTCAACGGACAATCATGTTCATAACATATGTATATATTTTGTCAAACAGAGCTACCCGGCAAACTGTAGGCGGAGAGGGAGAAGATATATCAATATATATATATATTGACTATATATATATATATATTTCATCCCTTTCTATGCTTGGCCGTAGACGGCTGCGTTCCTCCTCGCCACCCCCATCTCCTCCACGGTCTCGTTTGAGAACCGATTCTCCGGTTTCTATTCTTCCCATTGTTCCGCCTTCATTGCCAGTGACATCTTCTGTTAGAAACATCGCCACTCCTCTTATTGTGTATCATCGTCGACGACATGCACAACATCGCCACTTGGCCAGGGATCAGCGGCCTGCTTCTGTATCTACCCCAGTTCTCTCTGTGCCTCCTCCACGGGTTGTTGCGGTTCCGTTGTCCCAAACGGATACATCCGCTCCTATGCCTCYTGCAGACAGTCCAGCTGCTTGCACACAGCCACAGCACCATGTTTTATGGCCTTCCATGTTCGTTTGTCCCCCAGCTGTGCAGCAGGATATGGTCCCTGCCCAGAGTACACTCCCAACGACAGTCCCTACTCACGATGTGGCCCCGAACGCTGAGGGCCTGGGACATGATCAGCTCGGACTGCATTTAACCCCGCAAGGCATAGACCCCACGAGGGATTTGCAAATGGCTGACCAGGATCATATGGATGAACCGCATACTTGTGCACCACCTTGCGCCTGTCTCTTATACACATCTAGATGTGTATAAGAGACAGGAACTCGCCTCTGACCATTGGGAGGTGTGGAACGACGGTGTCATGGTCCATGCCATGATTGATATTACTGATTTCTTACTCTATGATGCTGTTCTCTTGCCACATCAAACTGTCCGCAACCTCCTTTATGTCGAAGATCATTCCTCTGGCACCGTAGTGCAGCAGTACAATGTACAGACACCTGTCTCTTATACACATCTAGATGTGTATAAGAGACAGGTTCCGTTGTCCCAAACGGATACATCCGCTCCTATGCCTCCTGCAGACAGTCCAGCTGCTTGCACACAGCCACAGCACCATGTTTTATGCCCTTCCATGTTCGTTTGTCCCCCAGCTGTGCAGCAGGATATGGTCCCTGCCCAGAGTACACTCCCAACGACAGTCCCTACTCACGATGTGGCCCCGAACGCTGAGGGACTGGAACATGATCTGCTTGGACTGCATTTAATCCCGCATGGCGTAGACCCCACGAGGGATTTGCAAATGGCTGACCAGGATCATATGGATGAACCGCATACTTGTGCACCACCTTGCGCAGACCCCACGGGTGATCTACAAATGACTGACCAACAAAATCAGCCTGAGATCCCCGCCAATCTCTGTGGTCTGGCTGCAACTAATAGCTGCCTTCGCGTTCTCAATCGGCCGTTGTATACACCATCAGATTTCCTTGCAATTGCCCTGCAGCTTGATGTTGATCTGGCTAATCTCGCTGATCCCCCCGACCTACAGCCAGAGCATCGTAATTACACCAGTGAAGGAGGTTTTACCATTGCTGTCCTAGAAATAGCGATGAGGAACTGCCAGCTTGAACTACGCCATGCTCTACCAGGTGAGTTGTTTAATCCTCCATCCCGCATCTCTGCCTCCATTGTGCATGGGCCTGGCCATTACATGGCTATTGTACACGCCTCTGACCATTGGGAGGTGTGGAACGACGGTGTCATGGTCCATGCCATGATTGATATTACTGATTTCTTACTCTATGATGCTGTTCTCTTGCCACATCAAACTGTCCGCAACCTCCTTTATGTCGAAGATCATTCCTCTGGCACCGTAGTGCAGCAGTACAATGTACAGACACTGTGTGACCTTCTCCTTTGCACAGCCACAAACGCTGTTGCACTTGGGTGTACTCGCCATCATCTTTGTCACAATCACTACCACGAGATGGTTTCTGCATCCATGTGTGTACAGGATTGTCCCTCCGTTCCTGACTGCAGGCACCCTCCTCATCCGGACACTATATGTCCATTTTGTGGCCACGGACGCTATGCTGAATGCATGCTCTTTTGTGGGGGGCGTTCTTCCTTTATTCTGGCCTGCAATAGACATGCTATTTGTCAGGAATGTATGGTTGGCATGCTTAATGCCAGCCGTCGTGGCAGTTGTTGTTTTGAGAACGCTCAGTTAGGTCTTCCATGCGCTCATCCACCCCATCCTTACAATGTGTGTCCTTTCTGTCGTCAAGGACAGCCTCATTCTTGAGCTTTTCCCTGTGTTTAACACCTTCCCCTTCACTCTGCCTCTCTCACAGCGTGCAAGTGGGCTGTTATGGCACACGGGGATGGGGGCAGCTCGCGCTCAACCTGTCTCTTATACACATCTAGATGTGTATAAGAGACAGGTATGGGGGGGGTGTATGGGGGTGTTGGGGGGGGCTATGGGGGTGTAGATGGGGTTATTTCGGTTTCTGGACCTTTTTTTTTTTTTTTTTTTTTTTTTCGGGGTGCTTACCGGTCGACGCCGACGGCGCCTACTGTCGGCTGGTCGGCAGCCGACGGGTCCGGGGCCGCCTACCGTTGGCGTGACTATCCTGTTTGTGACAGTATATAACCTCTTGCGTACAAAGCCGCTGCCCGGTAAACCGTAGGCAGAGAGGGAGAAGAGGACACCAAACGAGGGGCTGTGGCAAACTGTTTAATCGGAGTTTCACCGACTCGTCAGGAGGCTGAACCCTCAACAGTCTGCAGAATCCCCTAACTGATTACACTGTAAGCGATAATCCACCTTAACCCTGGCTGTGGTTAGGCATCAACGACTGCCCGACAACTGATACCCCGAGGTGGGCACCAACCACTGCCCTCAAGGTATATATAGATATATATAAACTCCGACGAAACCGTTTGTCACAGCCCCTCGTTTGTTGTCGTCTGCCCCCTCTCTATCTACAGTTTACCGGGTAGCTCTGTTTGACGATATATATATATATATACGGTTTACCGGGCAGTTTTGTTTGTGACGATATATACATATATATATCAGGTCGAGCGGCAGTGGTCGGGCCGTCACTACGCGGCCATGCTGTGCCTCTAGTGCCAGCGGCGTGTCTGGAGTGTATTTTTTGGCTGTGACAGACCTTTCTTTGTTTCATGGGTGTTTTGCTGGCTTGTGATGGGGTGTGAACCGACAGTCTGTAGAGTTTTCCATCTGGTGTGGGCGAGTGATAGTCTACTTTGATTTTGGTTGAGGTGGATTATCACTTACAGTGTAATCAGTGAGGGGATTCTACAG